CAAATAGGATGAACACACTCAGTAGATCATAAGCTTTGTAATGATACCTTACAAGAGACCTTTTGCATAAAGCATTTTCCAGTTACATTATATTTACACTCATAAGCATATTTCCATAAATATATGAAGTGCAACGTCACACATGGCATCGGGGGTTCAATCCTGGGGTGCTGCTGTCAGGTCGAGAGCTGTTTGTGGGGGAGATTCTCTGAGGCAGGGGTGTTTGGGGGCAGGGGGGTTTGTGCCGGTGTCTCAGCACCCCACGGGGAAGCCACTTGTCCCCCGGGGAGATTCTCTTCCCTGCATGGCTGGATTCAGGCTCCTGGGGGTGCAGAGAGATGGTGCGTTAGAGGGGCCCGTGTCACCCTCAGCCCAGCCGCTGGGGGGAGCAAGGGGCACAGAAAGGGGAGGTCACCTCACCTAGGGCGCACCCTTGGGCGGCTGTAACAGGCCTCAGCCAGGATCAGCCCCAAGATGAGCAGGACCACGGCACCGAGCGCCAGGCGGGCGATGTTGGCGTTGGTGAAATCCGGGCGGGCTGCTGCGGGGGAAGGGTAAAGTCACTTGGCGGCTCAGACGGGGAAATCAGCAGCTGGTGCTGCCCTGGGATCGGAGCCCACAACCCCCCATCCGGCAGATCCGGCCCAGCCCCCTCTGGGGGTCTCCCAGGCGCTGCGGCTCTAGGGCCTCCCTGGGGCCAGACCCCCTCAGGGGAGGCTGCGTCCTGCTGCCCCGGGGAGCTGAGCCTCAGCTTCCCCGGTGAAGGGGGCTCCCAGGTGGACAAACTGCCCCCAAGACACCCGGCACCCCAGCACCAGGCCAGGGGATGTGGACAATCAGAGCCTCAGGCTCTTAACCCCCCAGAACAGGGAACCACCCCAGCTCCCTGTCCCCATAGGACCCCTCTGTCCACCCCCACAGGTGCCTCTGCCCCGGCCTGTCTGCTGTGAGGTGAGCCTGTCCCCGGGGTATCTCGGCTGCTGCCAAACACAGCCAGGCAGTGCGCATGGGGGGGGGGAGAAGCTGGTTCTTCAACAGCTGCCCCCCACACTCGGGCGGTGGCCAGGGACCAGGGCACAGCAAGAGGCAACAGAACATCTACTGCGGGAAGGCTCAGGGATCCCCTGGGACCCCACTGGGGGGAGGGGAAGCAAGAACAGAGGGAATTCTGGGTAATGCTCACTCCTATTGCCAGCGGGATGTCATGTGGCCCAAGAAGGGGGGTTATTGCCCCAGGACTATGGCACCTAGTTGGTCCCAATTTCACAGCCCAGCCCCCCAGATCCTGCCCCTCCCCTGGCATCCCCCAGCAAATTCTAGGCAGCGACCTGCAGGGCAGGAGGCATTGGGGGGGCTGGGGATCTGGTAGTGAGTGAGGGGCAGGGGGCTGCCCCTCCCACTCATGTCTGGGCCCCACCCACCCAGAGTTACTGCCCCCCTAACCTCAACCAGCCCCAGCCCCTGGGCACCACGACCTGTTTCCATGGCTGGTTCAATGGCGGATTCCATCTCCCTACCCCCGCCCGGACCAGGGGGCAGAAATCCCCCCCGTCAGCCCTGAATCTCCAGCTGCTGCTGCTCCCCCAAGCTGGAGACCCTCCAGTGATTCCATCCCTGCTCCCCGGCCGGGCGTCCCCTCTGCTGGGTCAGGGATCAGGGCAGAGACCAGACCTGAGTGTCCCATTGGAACCAAGCCCTTCTGAGGGTCTGGCTGGGGGTGAGGCTGGTAACGGGGACGCCGAGCCGGGCCCCTCACCTCTCAGCACCAGCTCCACGGGGTCGCTGGGGTACGACATGGCAAACGGCTCCGATCTGCTGTGATAGGAGCAGCTGTAGTTCCCGCTGTGCTCCCGAGACATGTTGATGGAAAACACAGCCTCAAACCTGTCCGAATCCACAGCTTGGAAATGGCGTCCATCTTTATTCAGCACGAACCGCATTCCCCGGCGCTGCCCCCAACACCGGACAGTCACGGCTCCCCCCCGGGAGACCCCCCTGGGGCTCAGGGAGATGTTGGGTTTGGGGTAGCTGGGCTCTGCAGTGGGAAGCAGACAGGCCGTGAGACGCAGACCCCATCACTCAGTCCTGGGGCCCGTCCTCACCACGCGGCCTCAGTGGTGGGTCAGGCCCGGCGGCCCTGGGGACGGGCTCCTCGATGCCTTTCCACAGGGGCCAGAGTTTCCTCTGAGCCCTGGGCTAACAGCATGAGACACGGAGCAACCTCAGCCCCTGGAGGCCCAGAGCTCTGCTCCCTGGCAGGTGACAGGCCAGTCTTGTCTCCAGGGTCCATTCACTCCCTGGCTTCTCTGCTGGGAGGGCTGGGAGCCAGGACTCCTGGGTTCTCTCCCTGGCTCTGAGAGGGGAGTGGGGTCTAGTCGGGAGAGCAGGGAGGATGGGGGCCAGGACTCCTGGGTTCTGTGCACAGCACCACCACTGACTTGTAGGGGACTGTGCAAGTCTGTAATATACACTGAGGTTTAAAACCTTCAGCTCCGCCCATCACCCCCTAAGTGATGTGTTGCCTGGAAAAGGCCCCCCCTGCTCTGCAGCTCCCGGGATCCCCCTCCCTCTGCCCCAAATCTCCTGTGTCTGCTGCTCCCCCCGGCTCGGGAACCCCCCAGCGACTCTGTCCCCACTCCCTGGCTGGGCGTCCCCTCTGCCGGGCCCAGAGCTCAGGGCAGAGGCTGGCTCTGAGCATGGCATCCGTGGAGAGCCCACCCGAGGATCCGGCTGGGGGTGGGGCTGGGAGCAGAGACGCCGAGCCGGGCCCCTCACCTGCTACCACCAGCTGCACGGTGTCGCTGGGCTGTGAGGAGACGAAGGGCTCTGATCGGGGCCGGTAGCTGCAGCTGTAGCTCCCTCCGTGCTGCCGGCCCACGGTGGGGATGAGGAACTCGGCCCCGTCCCCAGCAGGGTCCATGTGTTGCTGTGGGTTCAGGTCTCCAGCCTTGTGGAGGAAGAACGTCACGTTCCGGCGCTGCCCCTGACACCGGATGGTGACGTCTGCCCCTGGGGCTGTGATCCCAGTGGGGCTCAGAGAGATGGAGGGTCTGGGTAAGCTGGGATCTGCGCACAGGAGACAGGCTGTGAGAGCTAGACCCGGGCACCCACCCAGACCCAGCCTCCCCGGCCGGCTGCAGCCATCGGCAGATCCTGGGGCCCCGCACAGAGATTCTCTCCCAGATCCCAGAATTTCCCCCACCCAGAATACCGGCCCTGTGAGCTGGGCTCCCAGCCCCACAGACACCGAGCCACAGCTCCCTAGTGCTTGGGATCCTCATATGCCCATGTGTGGCCCCCGCCTCATTCACTCCGTCCGCCCCCCGAGCACAGAGCGACTCACGGGCTGGTCTCTGGTGCCCAGCACCACAGGGCCCAAGCTCCACACAGGAAGGGAGTCAGCCCTCATCGGGAGGGGTCCTTATCAACATTCTACACAGGGGAAACTGAGGCACAGACAGATTCATTTTCCTTAGTGAGCTCCCAGGGGCAGCGACTGTCTCTTCACTCTGTGTTTATGCAGCGCCTGGCATAATGGGGCTCTGATCATGGCAGACAGGCCCATGCTCCCCCAGTGCTATTGAGGCCAATGTTTGCAGAGGTCTCCAGTAATGGTGGTTGCCTCGGTTTGTGGGCGCTCGGCTTGAGATCCGCCAAGACTGAGGCCCCCCCACAAGGAAAGACACTTTTGAAAACTGCAACGTGTTCCCATCACACAGAGTCTGTGGCCGCACCAGGAGCTGGGCCAGATCTCCTGGGTCCCAGCCTAACGCCAAGTCCACCAAGCCACCGCTTCTCCTGCAGCCCCTGCCCCATTCAGCCCGGGCCGCGGCACTGCCTGGGCCGGGCGAACAGAGGGGATGGGATCATGGGATTAAATAGCGACTCACGGTTCCTACGCACAAGGGGCAGCGTTAAAGTCGCCTCCCTGCCCCGAGTCTCCAGGGGCTGCTGCTCCCCCCTGGCTGGGGAACCCCCAGTGACTCCGTCCCCGCTCCCCGGCCAGGCGTCCCTTCTGCTGGGTAGGGCAGAGACAGGATCTGAGCATCCTATTGGCACGTGAGGGTCTGGCTGGGGGTGGGGGTGGGAACGGGGACGCCAAGCCAGGCTCCTCACCTCTCAGCACCAGCTCCGCGGGGTCGCTGGGGTACGACACGGCGAACGGCTCCGATCTGCTGTGATAGGAGCAGCTGTAGTTCCCGCCGTGCTCCCAGCTCACGTTGCTGATGGAAAACACAACCTCAAACCCGTTCGAATCCACAGGTGGGAAATGGCGTCGCTCTTTATTCAGCACGAACCGCATACGCCGGTGCTGCCCCCGACACCAGACAGTCACGGATCCCCCTAGGGAGACCCCCCCGCTGGGGCTCAGGGCGATGTTGGGTTTGGGGTAGCTGGGTTCTGCAGTGGGAAGCAGACAGGCCATGAGACGCAGGCCCCGTCACTCAGTCCTGGGGCCCGTCCTCACCACAGGGCCTCAGTGGTGGGTCCAGGGCTGGCTCCAGGCACCAGCCGAGCAAGCTGGTGCTTGGGGTGGCAGATTGTTCGAGGCGGCATTCTGCCCCATCCTAGGGCGGCACGGCCGCTTTTTTTTTTTCTTTTTTTGGTGGTGTTCTGCTCCGGCTGCCCTGTAGGTGGTGGCGGCGCGGAGGACCGGAGCGCCCTGCAGCAAGCCTGGCAGGGCAGTCCTCGTCCTTCCCTCCCAGCCGACCGGAGCAGCGCAGAGCCCTCCCGGCCTCACCTGCCCCCCCCCCCCACCTGAGGCCAGCCAGGGAGCCTGACCAGCAGGGCCGGCTCCAGGCACCACCTTGCCAAGCAGGTGCTTGGGGCAGCCACTCCGGAGATGGGCGGCACGTCCAGCTGTTCGGCGGCAATTCGGCGGATGGTCCCTCACTCCCGCTCGGAGCGAAGGACCTCCCACCGAATTGCCGACGCAGATCGCGATCGCGGCTTTTTTTTTGCGACGCTTGGGGCAGCAAAAACCCTGGAGCCGGCCCTGCTGACCAGTGGGCCCCCTGGAGCTCTGCCACCCGCCTCGGGGTTGGAAATAGAGTCTGTGACTGGCAGGAATCTCAAAAGACCCACCTTTCCCCAGGCCTTGGGATCGGGGGGTGGGGCTGTGAGAGCAGGGGAGGGAGCTGTTGGGGTGGATCTGGGGGCGGGGGCAGATCTGGGGGGTTCTCCCCACGGCTGCACAGACAGTGAACGTTTCGGTTCCCCGAGGGGATCTAGAGCCCACCGACGGATCCTGTTAGCGTTTGTATGAGCTGAAATAAATCCACGGGCCGCCCCAACTCCCCACCCCCGATCCTCACAGCGTGGGGGGCAGGACATTGAACCAGGGGACGGTTCCCATCTGCTTTGTCAGATCCCAGGAGCCAGATTCAGTTCCTAGTTACTGCATGGGGTTGCGGGGGAGGGCACAGAAGAACGGGGCTGGGTCTGAGGTCACAGGGGGAGTTTGGGCTCAGTTTTGTGGGGTTCAGGGCTCAGTTCCTCTTTTCCCACCCCATGCAACCCCTCCCCCATCCTTGATGTTACCGTCCTCCCCACAGACGGATACTCACCTCCCCACACCCCGCTGTGCCCGGCCAGCCAGCAGCCTGGAGAGGAGATGGCTCGTTAGTGACCAGATCCCAGAGCGCCTGGATCCTACACCCTGGTCTCAGATCCCTGACCCCCATGGGCACACGCCCAGGTCTCAGATCCGCGCCCCTAGGGGCACATGCCCTGATTTTGGATCCCCCCTCATGGGCAGATGCCCAGGACTCAAATTCCCCCTATGGGTGCACGCTCTGGTCTCAGATTCTCTCCCCACCCCCCCGCACGGACATGCCCTGGTCTCAGATCACCCCTCCCATGGGCACACGCCCTGGCTGTCTCCGATACTCACCGAGGAGGATGGTGAGAGCAGATGCCATGAAGAGGCAGTGGGGGGCCCCTCAGCGCTGCTACAAACGCCTCAGTGCTGAGCACCTCCGAGTCTGAGGCCCGAGTGCGAGCGGAATGAGGAACTGCGCTGGGGGCTGAAGCCCCAGGAAGCCCGTGATACACTCGGCCCCTTTCTCCTCATCAGATGGTTTCTCTGCAATCTCCAGGCGCGAAATCTACCATGGTCAGAGCAAAGCCAGATCCCTGCAACGCCCAGCAAACCACATCCCCTCCTGCAGCTGCCTCCCAGCCCCACAGGGAGCGGCCCAGTCTGGCGATCATCTGGGAATGGGGCAATCTCAGGAGGTATCAAGAGGTGCCGAGGTTGCCCTGATCTTTTCCAACAGGCCCGTCTAGCCTCCCTAGAGCAGCAGTTCAGAGCAGAGGAGGGCTCCCACACACACATGCAGTGCCCCCCACCGAGTGACCCTCTCCCATGGAGTGGGGCAGAGATTCCTTCCTGACCCAGCTGGGTCCAGAATCTGCCCTGGAGCTTGAGGGTGGAGGAACCTGACAAACCACCTTCTCAGGTAGAGTCACTGCAGATGCTGTTCTTAGGCCTGGTCTACACTACGACTTTAATTCGGATTTAGCTGCGTTAATCCGAATTAACCCTTCACCCGTCCACACTACAGAGCCAGTTAATTCGAATTAAAGGGCACTTAAAATCGATTTCTGTACTCCACCTCGACGAGCGGAGTAGCGCCTAAATCGATTTTGTTAATTCGAATTAGGGTTAGTGTGGCCGCACACCACCGAATTACTGTGTTTAAATTAATGGGGTAGTGTGGCCGCACACCACCGAATTAATGTGGTTAAAAACCGAATTAAGGTGCTTAGTGTGGCCGCGCACAATCGAATTTATACAACTTGTTTCCCAAATTCGAATTATCTAAATTCGGATTAATCCCGTAGTGTAGACATACCCTTAGATAAGTGATGTGAGACAGAGACCAGGCAGAGGGGCTGTCGGTGCAGCCCCAGTGAGGGAGGGATACATTTGGATCCTAAGTTGCTAAAGGAGCAGCCAAAAAATGTGTGAAAAGGAGATGTGTGTCCAGAGCCAGCGCTTGCTTGCTATTTCTGTTATTGTCAGTGAAACTCAGCATAAACCTGATTCTCTGGCAGTGACCCTGTAATTTATCCCAGCTCTGGGAGGGGACTGGGTGTAGTGGTTAGAGCAGGAGGGGCCCCCTGCCCCCCCCTCGAGCAATCCCATCTCCCCTAGGTGTGACACACGCTCCCGGAGCAGGGATGGGGGGCTGGGGACTGCCCACGGGGGGGCTGGTTTGTGGTTTTGTGTTTATTACAAATTTGGAGATTAACAGGATGCAAAACCACATAAAAGCTGCCTCAATGTGTCCCCTCCCCTTCCCTCTCCCCCTCCTGGTGCTGAGCTCTCCCCGGCCCCCCACATGTGGGCCTGGGCAGGGGGACAGCAGCTCAATGACCCCCTGTTCTGCAGCTCCCCCTGGGGGCAGGGATCTCCCCTCCCTATGTTATGAATCTCCAGCAGCAGCTGCTGCCCCCAGGCTGGGGAACACACGAACACCCCCAGTAACTCTGTTCCTGCTCCCCGGCCGGCTTCCCGGTGACAGAGTGGGAATTTTCTGTAAATATTTGGTACAAATTCCATGTTTGCCTCAGTTTCTCCTCTATGTTGCATGGTTAACTAGGTCATGAACAAAGGCTGTTTACTCCCGGCCAGGCCACGACAAATGTCTGAACGGTGTCTGGGATTTGGGGGGCCCCAGGGCAAAGCCCATCTCCGGGACATTTGCTAGCTGCCGCCAACTAACGACCATGGATGGCCCAGCTCCCACAGGAAGCCAGCCGGGTGTGACCGGCCGGACAGCCAAGGACTGAGGAAAGGCAGGAGGCCAGGGCTCACCCAGGAAACCTGAACAAAGAGGGAGCCAAGGGACAGAGCAGGGGCCCAGGGGGGGCACCGCTTGGCAGGGGCTCTGGGGAGCCAGGCTGGACCCAGCTAGAATGTTCTTCTCTCCGGGCAAACCCGGAACTTCCTGTGCTGGGTGCAGTGGCCTCCTAGCCCAACCAGCGTGCCCGCGCAGCGGCGTGCCCTGCAGAGGGACGCGTTGCTCCCCAAGATTGTACCAGGCTCCCTTAGGGTCTGCCTCAGCGGCACTCACCAAACATCGCTCGTGATGGGGAGCCGGGGGGCAGCCGGGCCAGGGGTCCAGCCTAAGGAGGTAGGGGAGCTGTGGGGCTTGCCCTGAAGGAACAGTGAGACCCCCAGGGGTCTGGCACATTGACGAGGGCTCCAAGAGGCTGCTCCAAAGCTGGGACCATAACCCCGATTCTGTGGATCCATGACAGTCCCCTTTGCTGGGCCCAGGCCTCAGGGCAGAGCCTGGCTCTGAGTGTCCCATTGGCATGGAGCTGCCCTGTGGGGCTGGCTGGGTGTGGGGCTGAGAGTGGAGACGCTGAGCCGGGCCCCTCACCTGCTACCACCAGCTGCAGGGATCCGAGTCAGGGGATAATAGCAGGTATTGCTGCCTCCTTCTGCCCGGCTCACTTTGGGGATGGGAAATTTGACCCCAGCCGAGTCCCTGCCCCATGCTGCTGAGTTCCTGGCCCCAGCCTTGTCCAGAACAAACTCCAGACCCCGGCGCTGACCCCGACACTGGACGGTCGCGGCTCCCCCCAAGGCGACCCCTGCCCCCGCTGGGGCTGAGGGAGATGGAGGGTTTGGGGGAGCTGAGCTCTGTGGTGGGAGGGAGACGGGCATGAGAGACCCCAGCACGGCCACTGCACCCCGTCCCCAGCGTGGAGTGTCAGTGATGGGGGAGAGATAGGGGCAGGGTCTCTCCTGGTTTCCAGGGCACAAAAGCACCCAGCGCCAAGAAATTCCCTCTCCACCCAACCTTCACTGGTTGGGCTGGACATCCCATCTGCTGGGCACCAGGGCTCACGGGGACCCCGTGGGCATCTGGCTGAGTGTGGGGCTGGGAGCCGAGATGCTGGACTGGGCCCCTCACCTGCTACAATGATCTGCACAGGGTCACTAAAGTCCAAGTAGGCAGCTTCTCCTGTTCTTTAGCTGTAACGAGAAGTGTAATTTCCGCTCTGTTCCCATCTGGCGCTGGTGATGGGAAATTCAGCCTCAGAGCCAGCAGGGTCTGTGTAATTCAGATAGTTCCCATCTCCAGCCTTGTAGAGGAGGAACCTCATGCCCAGGTGCTGATGCGACACCAGATGGTGACATTTCCCACACACGTAGAGCACCCCCCCCAAGTCCAACCCCACCCCCCCCCCCCCAAGGCTCTGAATTTTCCCAACACCCCCCGCCCCAGTTTTGTGAACTAGTCACGTGCAGTGTTGCCAATTTAGTGACTGTTTGGACATTTGAATTGAAATTGAAACATTAAGACACACTTTAAAAGCATATAAAGTGTGTCATAAAATAGGTCTCTGAAAAAGTAGAATAGATTTGAAAAGTATAAACAGACTAGCTTCCTTATACAGCTGTTGTTTTTATGATCATGTCAGTGCATTCGTTTCAGTGATATTGGCCAACCTAATAATTTCAAATGATGATTTGTAAGCAAAGTCTATGAGCTCTCCCTGACAGCTAGTGATGAGCTGGGGGGGAAAAGGCTTCAGGACCAGATTCTATTTACATTCACACCTAATCTACCTAGGTATCCACCAAACAAAGCTGTGTTGCCCAAGTGATAGATTTTGGCTGGGGTTGGGTTACAAATCACTTGACTGCAGGAGTAATGAAATGTTGTTGTTCTTATTGTATGAGTAAAGGGCAGTTGTACTTAGCCTGTGCTGATTTAGGGCATCAAGAGAGAGTGTGGGGACAGGTGTTTTGCTTGATGGTCTGCCTGAGTCACAAGTACTATTTGACCTTTCCCTCTCCATTGTTTAAAGACAGAGGTGATTAGGCTCCATAGATAGTCTTTTGTTTTGTTGAGTGACCACGACAGCTGGAATCACTGATAATCAGGTCTAAGTGCTTAGACCTGCTGTGGGGACAGTGTTTCTGTGGAAGAGACGGCCCAGCCTGCACTAGCAGTGAGGTTTCCCCACTGAGAGCTCAGCTGAAATCACTGAGATCTGGTGGAACCTCAAGAGATCAACTTGCAGAGGTCACAGTGGCAGGTGGCAGCAGAAGGTGATGGCGCAGGGCCATTGGCAACAGAGCGATGGAGTGAACGGTGGCACAACGAACAACAGTGGCCAGAGCGAGCAGTGAGCAGCTGGAGGAACGAGCAAGGTACCTTCTTGCCCCCACCTGGGAGGCGAACTCATGTGAAAGCACCTCTGAACTCTGAGTCTCCACTAACCAAGGACAACACCGGTGAGTGTTAATGAGGCTGTTAAGAATGCTGGAGACATAACAGTTCCTGCGAACAAACATGGCCGTGGCATCCTACTTTCTATTTAAGCAAGAGATACCACACACTACAAACTGGAGGCCAATGTTAAGTGCATTGTCACTAGTTCATCCTGAAGTTGAACACTGGTTCCAAACAAGACCAGCAAATGCTCACTATCTTTCTGCCAGAAACTCAACTGACCAGCTAGACGCATGTGGTGCAACAGTGAAAGACTCCACAGTTGAAAAAGTGAAGAACTCTCTCACCACATTCAAAAAATTTGCATACATGGCTGATGAATGCACTGATGCAAATGGGTACCAAGTAGTAAATCATTGTGTACGTTATCTTGATGTCAGTGGTAGGCCAGTAGATACATTTCTAGATGTTCAAGTTATAGAAGAAAGATTGACTGCACCTGTGACAACCCACACCTTAGAAGAGTTAAATGCTTGTCAATTAGACCCCAAACAGATATCTGCTTGTGCATTTGATGGAGCTGTAAACTTCTCTGGAAGACATGTTGGAGCACAAGAGAAAAGTGTAACCCTAATCTCTCCTATACACACTGCAGAGGTCATCTACTCCAACTAGCGCTAGTACGAGCTGCAGACTCTTCAAAAGACATTAAAAAAAAGCTATACATTTAATGTCTTCATTATATTCTTTTTTCCAGCAAGAGTCCAAAAAGACTGAATATCTTGGAAAATGTAGAAGATACACTGGGACTGAAGTTCAAATTAGTCCAAGGCTGGGAAAAACCGCTGGCTTTCTCATAAGTGATCCTTGGCTGTTGTCTTAAAATTACTTCAGCCGTTATTACTGGCTTTGGAATGTATCTACCAAGATGGGATGGATTTATGTAGTGAGGCTGGTGGATTACTTTTGCTACTACGTTCAGAGAAGACTATTGCCATTCTCTCTCTCTCTCTGTTGAAACCACTTGGGTCATTAATCAATGCCATCCAGGCATCTGCTAAAACAGTAGTAGAACTTTGTAAAGCAATAGAAGCTACATTTGGATCAGACAGAGAGCTATCCATTGAAAAAGTACTGGAAGAAGCAAAGACTTCAGTCCAGAAGTTGACTAATGAAGGCATTTATATTGAATCCTTAAGTGAAGAGGACAAGAAGTGTTTGTTAAGATAACTGAAAAAGTACACAGACTTGATTCTTACAAATCTACAACAGCGACTTCTAGATTCTACTCAACCTCTACATAGCTTTTACAGATCCCTGTCCTATAAAACACTGATAGTTGAGTGGAGTGAGGCACTACCAGCAATGGGGCTGCCATGTGCTCAAGACAAAATAGAGAATTTGAACACAGAGTGGAATATCATACGACGAATGAATGAAGATTTGACTTCAACTTTTTTTTATCACCACTAGTGGCTCGACCTGATCTTTATGCTATGTTTCCTGGGCTGAAAGAAGTAGGAATTAATCTCTTGCTACTCCCAGTCAAAACAGCTACAGTTGAGCGTTCTTGTTCATCATTGAATAGAATTTTGTGTTTTGAAAGAAGTTGCCTTCTGCCTGATCACGTGAATGAACTAATCAGCATATCAGCTGAAGGAATGGAAGTACCGGATACATGAGAAGCCACCAAAGATTAATGCATTGCGTTCAAGAAGTTCATTAACAGAGTTGTGCAAAATTATAACAAGAAACCAAGAAGGATGTAGATGTAGTGCTTCATAGAAGGCTTGAGTAGCTAACTTTAATTTGTGTGATGATTTTAAAATCTAATAAAATGGTCATGAAACATTTTTCAGTTTTTACTACGGTGCCATACAACCCTTCACCCTCACGGTCTCACCCCTCATCGGCCCTGACCCCCCCCCCACAAATTTGAAACCCTCCCCCTAATTTCAATTCCTGGGGAAAACACTGAGATGGAGGGTTTGGGGTAGGACCCCTGATTCACAAACAAACAGGCAGTAAGTGGGGGTGCACAAACCACCTCAGTCTGATTCAATCCTCTGCCCATCTGTTGCTCCAGCATTTTACCGCCTGCCCGTCCCTGGGGTGCAGGCCCGGCCCCGTGGCTCACAGCTGGGGTGAGACACAGCAGGAGGGAAAGGAGATTTCCAATCTCTGATTGCTTTAGTTATGCAGGGTCAATTCAGCCCTGCCCCTGCTGCAGTCAGGGGTGACTCCGGATTGACCTCAAAGAGCTGAGATCAGAACCTGTCCCTGCCCCCATTGCAGTCAGGGGTGTGACGAAGTGGGGGATTTTTTTGTTTTCGGTGGGGTTTCAATGGTTTGCATGCGGAGTGGTGTGACTCAGTTTCCCTGGGTGTTACTGGTTTAATGAGGTCAGGGGAGAGGGAGTTTGTTGTTACAGAGGACCGGAGAGGGAACTTGGGACCCCAGCCAATGGCCGGGAGGATGGATACCCCAGTGACCGGTGACCTGAGCCCCCGACCCAGAGACCCAGCTCAGGAGTCGCAGCCGGTTCTGGCCAGTGGGAGGACAATGGGCTGCAGAGTGAGGACCCAGTGACCTAACCAGCCGGTTCCAGCCAGAGGACAGAAGCGAGGAGAGGAGGCCCTAGTTTACAACCCTGTTTACCTGGAGAGAAGACAATGGACAGAGGCGGGGCTTGGGGCCGGGGATCTCGGAGGCCCAGCTGGGAGCAGGGGGGCTTGGGGCTGGAGAGGGGGAGCAGGCAGAGCCCACCTGGATGCAGAGAGACTGGAATGTGCTGGGCTGAGGGAGGCCAGGCCTGAGGCCCTGAGAGTTTCCTGTGCTGTGTTCAACTCTCAATAAACCCTCCTGTTTTATGCTGGCTGAGAGTCACTCCGCGCTAGAGAACAGGGTTGCATCAACCCCTTCGGGGGGTGGAGGCCCCGGGGGTCCAGAGCGAGTGGACTCCCTGAGGGGGCCCACGGCAGAGACAGACGTGCTAAGGCTCCGAGAGGTGCGGCTCCAGGAGGTGGAGGGGCCGGACCCCAAGAGAGAGTGGCCCCCCGAGAAGGGCTGTTGCACTGAAAGGGACACCACCCCCCAAGGACCACACGGGGCCAAGAGTGGGCACGATCTGTGAGTCTGTGACAAGGGGTGACTCTGGATTGACCCAGAGGAGCTGAGATCAGAACCCAGCCCTGCCCCCATCACAGTCAAATGGTGAATTGCGATCTACTCTGTGGGGTTCCTGGTCCAAATTTGGGTCATTTGAGCAAGCAGCTCCCAGGACAGGCCCCCCCCAAGAAAACATGTTTACAAAATCCCCGAGTTGTTCTATCAGGTTCCCTTCCCTGTAATGAGTAGGGCAAGGTCTCATTCCCACCTCTGGGTGTCTGACAGGATCGTCCCTTTGGGGAACTGGCGCTCCTCACCCCCCACCCACATCCCTTGTCCCTAATGTGGAAATTCCCCCAGCTCCCCCATTCCCTACAGATACTCACCTCCCGACACCCCGCTCCGCCCGGCCAGCCAGCAGCCTGGAGAGGAGATGGGTCTTTAGGGACCAGATCCCAGAGCGACTGGATCCTACACTCTGGGCTCAGATTCCCCCCATGGACACACTCCTGGCTCTCTCCGATACTCACTGAGGAGGACGACGGTGAGAGCAGATGCTATGACGGGGCAGCGGGGACCCTTCAGCGCTGCCACCAACTCCCAGGTGCCAAGCTCCACCCAGCCTGAGGCCCAAGTGCGAGCAGAATTAGGAACTGTGCCAGGGGCTGCAGCCCCAGGAAGCCCGTGATGCACTTGGCCCCTTTCTTCCCCAGCGCCCACCCTGGAGCATGAGGGTGGAGGGACCTGGCCAACCTCCCTCTCATGTAGTGTCGCTGCAGAATCTATTCTTAGCCGAGTGGCATAGGACAGAGACAGGACAGAGGGGTGGGAGGGTAGGAGGGGTTGTGGTTTCCGGCCCCCCATGAGGGTGCGAGAAATGGGTACATTTAGATCCTGAGTGGTTAAAGGAGCAGCTGATAAAGCCATGAAAGGGGAAGTCTGACCAGAGCCGGCGCTCGCTTCCTGTTTCTGCTACTGCCTGTGAAACTCTGTGTGAACCTGATGCCCGGCACCTACCCTGTTATATACCCCGACTCTGGGAGGTGAATGGGGTCTAATGATTGGGGCAGGGAGGGGCTGGGAGCCAGGACTCCTGGGTTCTCTCCCTGGCTCTGCTTGTGGGGTGGGGTCTGGTGCTTAGAGAAAAGGATACAGATCAGAGCCAGCCCCCTAGAGGTGAAAGGCCCCATGTCCCTTCCCCAGCCCATCCCCGGGGCAGTGGGTCCATGCAGCTCAGGGCCCGGGGCAGAGCTCACAGGGGCCGACGGCCGAGCCGAGCTTCCCTCTCCGACCCCAGGATGCTGCGAAAGGGACACGGGGTCGGGAGCCGACCAGCCCCCCAGAAAGGGGAGGGGGAAGATCACAGGGACAGAGCTCAAGAGAAACTGGACCCCCCGGCAGATGCCCCAGCTCTGGCTCCCCAGCTCATTTGCCCTTCACCCCCCACCCCCGACATTCACGCATTGGGCCCCTCACCCCCCCACTCTGCTCCCTGACCTGCGTCCCCTCATGCCCCTGCCTCCCCCCCCCCTTCCCCCCCCCCCCTCTTGTTCTCCCCCCCCCCCCCCCCCCCCCATCAGCTCCCCACCCTCCTAGTGCTGCCCCATCCCATGTCCCTTCACCCCATTGTGCCCTTCATGCCCCACGTCTCGTCCCCTGTTCTCCTCCCGCATCCCATCCCGTCACACCCCCGACCTCCCTGTTGTAGGGAAGGGACCCCTGGCGGCCCTCAGTTAACATGGCCACCCCATCACCCCCTGCAGCCCTCACAGGGCAGCCATGCTGCCCCCTGGCTGAGATGGCCGGACTGTCGGGGTGGGGTGATGGCTGCATGGGAACGAGCCCTCCGGTTTCTCGGACCCTAGACTGACCCCCAGCCTGTGCCCCCAACTCCCATCTCTTGCTCCCACCCCGGGGCCATGGGGGGTTGTTGTCTCCCCCCAACCCCTCCCCTCCACTGGAGCTGCCCCATCTTAACTGGGAGTTAGTGTGAAAACCATCCTGCCCCCCACTTTGCTGTGAAGGGGGAGTTACATGGGAAAGACCCCCACAGCCTGCTCCCCCCTCATGCTCACTCCCTCCCCCCCATATCAGCCCATCTCCCCCAAAGCCCCCATCTCCCACCTGGCCTGTCCCTGGCAGGGAGGGAGGCTGAGGGGATGTGGGGGCCATTATAAGACAGGCAGGGTGTGGGGTGGGGGAGGGGAGGACTGGGCAGGACAGTAACAGGGGAGGGGAGGGAGGATTTAGGATGAGTAGGGTCCCCCTGTGTGTGTTTCAGGCTGAACCTGCCCCATGGCCATGGGGGCACCTCCATCCCCTCTCCCTACCCCTGCCTGGCTCTGCAGGGGTTTTGGCAGGAAACAATCATGCTTCCCCCACTTCAGATCTACTGAGGGTGGGGGGCTACATGGCAAAGTGTGGGAGCAGAGAAGGGGGGTCAGGAAAGGGCATTGGGGGGCTGGGGAGGAGTACTGCAGAAAGGGATCTGGGGGTCATAGTGGATCACAAGCTAAATATGAGTCAACAGTGTAACGCTGTTGCAAAAAAAAAAAAAAAAAACGCAAATACAATTCTGGGATGTATTGGCAGGAGTGTTGTAAGTGTGGCAAATTGCCAGCACTACTATGATGGGGTCTTGTGCTTTCTCTTCTGGGGGGGAGGGGGGTTCAGGGCACCATTTCTTGCCCCTGAACTGGGATATTAACTACCCCACTAGTGTCCTAGAGGAGGGGAGTAGAGAAGGAGGGACCCGGGCCCATCTTCTACTCCAGGTCCCAGCCCAGGGGCCCTAGGTATAGCAGTAAACCACTTGAACTAGCGGTTCCTTCCCCGGGCTACTTCCCTCTCCTACCCTTCAGCTTGTGGGGGGCTTCCTGCCCTCCCTCTGCACAAGCCAGGTGTCCCTTTACCTAAGGTCTTCTTAGCCCACCACAGCACCTCTCCAAACTTTCCTCTGCTTCCCTTCAAACTGCTCTCTGCTCCAGCTCTTCCACTGTCTGATTGAAGCAGGGGGTTTTATTAGGTGACTGGCTTCAGGTGCCCTAATTGGCTTCAGGTGCTTTAATTAATCTACAGCAAACTTTCTTCCCTGGACAGGGAATAAGGCTCCCTTCTAACCCACTCCTGCTGCCCTCTGGCCATGCTGTATCACATAAGCAAGACACGAGCAGTCATTCTTCTGCTCTACTCCGTGCTGATTAGGCCTCAACTGGAGTATTGTGTCCAGTTCTGGGCGCCACATGTCAGGAAAGATGTGGAGAAATTGGAGAAAGTCCAGAGAAGAGCAACAACAATGTTTAAAAGTCTAGAAAACATGACCTATGAAGGAAGTTTGAAAAAAATTGGGTTTGTTTAGTCTGGAGAAGAGAAGACTGAGAGGGGACATAACAGTTTTCAAGTACAGAAAAGGTTGGTGGTGGTGGTGTCTGTAGATCAGTGGCTCTCATGCTTTTGTACTGGGGACCCCTTTCACATAGCAAGCCTCTGAGTGTGACCCCCCCTTATACATTAAAAACACTTTTTTATATATTTAACACCATTATAAATGCTGGAGGCAAAGTGAGTTTGGGGTGGAGGCTGACAGCTCATGGCCCCCCATGTAATCATCTCATGACCCCCTGAGGCATTCCGACCCCCAGTTTGAGAAGCCCTGCTGGAGATGGAGGTGGAAGAGAGAGAGCATGGCAAACTACTCTCCCTTTTATCATGTCTTTTCTTCCCTCTTGGCTTTGCCCCCCCCCCTCGCCCCCCGCTTCGGAGTCAGGTGAGCATTACCTCATCGCAGTCCCAAACTAACCAAAGGGGGGTGACTTGAGAGTCCAACAGATCCTTTGTTGCTGCCTAGGCCAGTGTCCTTTGTTCCTGTGAGGCTGGGCTGGGTTTGTCCCACACAGGCCCTGATGAGGTGTGAACTGCTTGGGAAGAGTTTTTGTCTGGGCTTGTTTTAAGCCAGGAGGACACATTTTCAGCCTCATAACTATATACATGAAATTACAACCTATAACATCACTGTAACAACAATGCTCAGTGCATCATGAGCCTTCTGAAGACACCCGACGTGACAAACTCGGCAGTGGATCCCACACAATCATATTACAAGGATGATCGTGGGGGCGCAGGGTGTTCCCCCGATGTACAGAGTGTTACAGGTGAGGACGAGCAGGCTCAGGGGGGCTCTTTAAGCAGGAGTTAAGGGAAACTGAGGCATCGGGGAGACAGACGACCTCTGAGCGCCCAGGGGCAGATGGACGTGGGTCAGTCGTGTCTTTCCAGGCCAATCTGAGGGTCCGGAGGTTGCAGGGGCCAGGATCTCGGGGGGGGGGGGGGGCGCAGGCAGGGACCAGGATCTCGGGGGGGAGGAGAATCTTGTGTAGGGGTCAGGATGGTGGAGCTGAGGGGACTCCTCTTCTGCACACCGCTGAACGGCAAGAAAGCCTCACTCAAAGGAAAACAGCCCCCCCACTCTCTGCAGGGGGGATTCAGAACTGCCCCTCTCTGTGTCCTAGCCCCCACACTGCTCCCAGCAAGTGGCGATTCCTATGTTGCCCAAGAGGCAGGGCCTGGGGGTGGGGCCCGGGCCCTTGCGGGGAAGTCTCAAGTGGGGGATTCGCTGTGAGGCTCTCTGTGTGCCCATGTTGTCCGGCCCGGGGTCCCGAGGAGGGGAACATTGGGGTCACAGGGTGATGACCCCCGCAATCTTTCATACGGGCACCGCCCAGGGATCACTTCCTCTTTGCCCCCCCCAGCCCAGCTCACGGCGATGGATCCCCCAGCACAGCGGGGAAGGGACGACCCCATGGAGGGGATGTAAACAGCCGGCGCCAATTGGTCAAAGGCATCAGACCCTTCTGCAGCTTCACCCAGAGTCAGGGTGTGAACCCCGGAGCCTTGCCCAACTGATGCCCTTCCCCAGAGGGGCTACAACCCAGTGCTGGGTGAGGGGTCCCTGTATAACCAGTGCCCCACCCCAGAGGGGCCACATCCCAGCACTGGTAGAGGGTTCTCTGTATATTCAGCCTCTGCACCCCAGAGGTGGCCGCATCCCAGCACTGGTAGAGGGTTCTCTCTATATTCAGCCCCCGCACCCCAGAGGTGGCTGCATCCCAGTGCCAGGTGAGGGGTCCCTGTATAACCAGCCCACGCACCCGACCCCATCTCCCCCAGGTGTTACACACATTCCCGGCATGGGCACAGGGAGGCTGTGGGGTGCCCAGGTTGGGCTGGTTTGTGGTTCTGTGTTTATTACAAATCTGGAGATTAACAGGATGCAAAATAATATAAACAGCCACTTCAGTGCATCTCCTCCCCCTTCCTGTGCTGAGTCCTCCACACTGGTCCCCACATGTGGGTCTGGGCGGGGCAGGGGGACAGCAACTCGATGGGAAGGGGGCTGCAGCGGCAGGAGGGCAGCGTCCCCCATAAATCTTCCCTAGAAGCAGAATTCTCTGGGTTTGGCACTGCAAGGGGGTGTCGCCCCGCTGGGGGCTAGCGCCCCATGGCTGTGGGGGAATCTCACTGCGGGGCCCCCTGGCTCATGTTGATCATGGCGTACATTCTGGGCTGGGTGGGCTCGGGGGCAGGGGCCAGGGCCCCCTGCTTGGCCTGCAACGCCTGGCCGTCCAGCTCGGCGTAGGTGAGTCCGTCGGCACCGGGGTCGGGCTCCTGGGGCTGGGAGGGGAGAGAGTGACGGGGGGGGAGGTCTGAATCCACCAACACCCCAATACACAGAAAGCACAGGATATGTACACACACACACACACACACACACACACACACACACACACACACCTGGCGATCCCATAAGCCCACCCCCCTCCCAGCAGCCCAACCCCCACACAGTGGCGTAGCCAGGTTCTAAGAGCAGGGGGAGCAAACACGTAAAAAAGGCACCCCCCCTTGGCTCCTCCTCTGGCCACGCCCCATCCATTGGCTCCTCCTCCAGCCGCGCCTCTCCCTTGGCTCCTCCAGCCGCGCTGCGGCCATGCTGCGCCCCCCTCTTGCTCCTCTGACCATGCCGCGCCACCCCCTTAGCTCCTCCGGCCGCACCGCGCCCCCCTTGCACCTCGCTCCTCCGGCCGCACCCCCTCGCTTTTTTTTTTTTTTGCTCGGGGCCGTGGCAAAAAAGTTAGAGCCGGCACTGCGCTCTCCGCCCCAGCTCACCTCTGCTCCGCCTCCACCTCCCTGGGCCTGAGCGCGCCGCCGCTTGCTTCTCCGCCCTCCCAGGCTTCCCGCACGAACAGCTGATTCACGGGAAGCGGGGGGGCGGAGAAGCAGAGCGGGGCGGCGCGTTCAGGGGAGGAGGCGGAGCGGAGGTGAGCTGGGGCTGGGGGACGGGGTGGGGTGCTGCTGGTGGGTGCTCTGCACCCACCCACCGAATTTTGGAGCACCCATGAGTCGGCGCCACTTTTGGATATGTGCTCAGTGGGGGAGCGGTCGCTTCCCCTGCTCCTCCCCAGCTATGCTAGTGCCACCTCAAACCACTGAGTGTGCCAGGAAAGGCTGGGGGGGTGAGGGGGCTGCTGGAGCCCATGTGGGTCAGGATTGGGGGTCAGGCCCCATGGGAGAACAGGGGACACTTACCAGGGTCTGCGTCTCTTTCCATTCGTCAATGGAGGCATCTGCGGAACAGAGACACCCGCTGAGCTGCACCCCCGGCCGGCCCAGAGCAGAACCCCACACCCAGCTCCAATCCCTCTGTCCAGCCAGGGGGCTCAGAGACCAGCACAGCCACCCCTCCCCCACCCCACAGCATGGGCCAGGGTCATTAGCCCCATGTTACAGAGAGGAAAACTGAGGCACAGAGAGGTCTGTTACAGCGGGGGTAGGGGGCTGGGAGTCCAAAAGCCTGTGTCCTCGCCCTGGCTCGGGAGGAGAGGGGGGTCTAGACTAGTGGTTAGAGCAGGGGGCTGGGAGCCAGGAGTGGGTGGGGAACTAGAGCGGGAAGGGAGGGTGGCCCCAGGGAGCTCCTGGGAGTCCAACACTCTCAGCTGACACCGGCTACCTCTGGGACCCTCTCCTTAGTCCTGCCCAGCAGCAGCTGTTAATCAGACCCTGCCCCTTATGGGTGGAGCCCCCACCAGCCCCTCCCTCCCCCGGGGTCCTGCCCCACCCTGATTCCCACTTGGGTGAGTTACTCACAGACGGGGTCTTGCTGAGCCAGTGCCTTTAATGCCCCCATAGGGCTGGTGCTAAAAGAGAAAATCCCCTTCTAAATGTCATATCCCCCCACCTGTGGGGAGATTCCCCAACACACCCAGAGAGTCCCCCATCCTGCCTCACCCAGAACCCAGTTCCCTGAGCCCCCTTTGCCCCAACCACCAGACCACCCCCACCCCCCCCCGCTCTAACCACTAGACTCCACTCCCCTCCCTGAGCTGGGAGAGAACCCAGGAGCCCTGTGACCCCGGCAGGTCGATCGGGAGGGGGAGGAGCCGGGTTCCTACCTGCTCGGTCTCGGTGCGGCTCCTTTTCCTGCAGAGGGACACAAACCAGAATCCCCCATGAGCCAATCGGGATCCCCCGGTCCCAGCGCCCGGCCACTCACCCCCCACAGGGCAGCAGGGATGGGGGGGCCTGGCGGGCTCCCCTCTGCTGCTGAACCTGGATCCCTGCTGGGATGGACCAGCAGGGGGCAGCGCAACACCATAGCATGGATTAGGGGGAGGGGCAGATTAACTCGGTGGGGGCTTTTCCTGTCCCCAATCCTCCCTCGTTAGTGATTCGTTATAACGAACCTGATCCTGGCCGGTCGGCTCCTCTGTCACCCCAGGTACCTGAGAAGCACGGTGCCGGCGGCTGATTATACAGGGACCCTTAGCCAGGCACTGAGACGTGGCCACCTCTGGGGTGGGACAGCTGTGTGTATAGGGATTACACATGGAACAGCGCCCTCTGCTGAGCGCCCCCACTCCTTGGCTTTCCCGGCACAGATCCCCATCCAAGCCGTGACCCCATCCCGCCCTGCTGAGCGGCAGGTTTAACCCTTCCCTCGCTGGGTGGGGCACTTACTGGCTCGGGTTTTTCTGAAGCAGATGAAGGCCACAAGGAGGAAGAGGAGGAGGACGGTGGCCGCCGCACTCGCCCCGGCGATGATGGGCCAAGTCAGAACCAGCGGTCCTGATTCACCTGGGAAACAGCAGCAGCCGTGAGTGCCGGGAGCGACTGGTCTGTTCCCCCCCAGCCCCTCCCACCCCAGGCGGCGCCCAAGGGGCTGGGACACCACAGGGCAGAGGAGCAGAAAATTATGGGGAGGATGTCGGGGGGCCCAGGGCATCAAGTGGGGTCAGAGCCAGCAAGATTTGGGGGATTTATAGCACAAGGGGGCAGCGGGCTGCAGGGCGGGGGGCTCAGTAGGGGGCGCTGTCTGATCCAGCCTGGGCATCATTTCCGGTGCTCAGGGTGGAGGGGCTGAAACCCCCAGTGACTCACTCCCTGCTCCACGGCTGGGCCCTGGTTCTGAGCATGGCGGAGACCCCCCCAAAGGTCCGGCTCGGTGTGGGGCTGGAGGGGGGTCGCCGAACCAGGCCCCTCACCTGGTACCACCAGCTCCACGGGGTCGCTGGGCTCCGACCAGTCAGTTGTTTGTGATTTGGTGTGATACTGGCAGGTGTAGCGTCCGCTGTCGTCCGGTCCCACGCTGGGGATGGGAAATACGGCCTCTCTCCCAGAAGGGTCCTGAATCTTTATATAGGCTCCATTTTTACTCAGAACAAACCTCATGCCTGGCTGCTCCCCCACACACTGGAACGTGACGTTTTCCCCCAGCTCAGTCACCCCCCGGGGGCTCACAGACAGGGAGGGCTTGGGAAAATTTCTCTCTGGATTAAAAAAAGAACCAGGTCAGTGGGGTGGGGGCCAGCCCCTGCCCCGTTGGTGTCTGTCTGTCTGTCCTGCCCCCACCCAACCCCTGTGTGTCCAGAAACCGCCCCGTCCTCACCACCCCTGGGAAATACACAGCAGGGTGAGCAGGGCCTGTCAGATCTCAGCCCGCCCCTGGGGTCAATCCGGAGTCACTCCTGACTACACAGGAAGCAGGGCTGGGTTTTGATCTCAGCTCCACCCCACCCCCCGCGGGTGCCAATCTGGAGTCACCCCTGGGGGCAGGGCTGGATTCTGATCTTGGCTTTCCCAGGGCTAATCAAGATTATCTCTCTTGCAGTCAGTCCAGGCACTCTAGATTCACACTCTCTAGAAGAGGCGCAGGCAGTGGTTTGATGGGACGGTTTTTTAGGCCTGGTGGGGGGGGCATATTTTGGGTCCTGCACGGCAGGATGTGGGACTCCCTTTGACCTGAGAACAGCGGTTGAGGGGGTCAGTGTGAGGTTGGGGTAACGGTTCAGGGTTTGGCTCTCTGTTCCCTGTCCCTTCCCCACCATCCTTAATGGTAACATTCCCCCATATCCCACCCCATGGATACTCACCTCCCGACACCCCACTCTGCCTGGCCAGCCAGCAGCCTGGAGAGGAGACAGCAGGTTAGGGACCAGATCCCAGAGCCACTGGATCCCATACCCTGGTCTCAGATCCCCCCCATGTGCACATGCCCTGGTCTCAGCTCCCTCCCATGGGCACACGCCCTGGTCTCAGCTCCCTCCCCCCATGGACACACACCCTGGTCTCAGATCCCCCCCATGGGCACACGCTCTAGTCCAGGGGTGGGCAAACTTTTTGTGCTGAGGGCCGCATCAGGTTTCCAAAATTGTATGGTGGGCCGATTAGTGGAGGCTGTGCCTCCCAAAACAGCCAGGCATGGCCCGGCCCTGCCCCCTATCCCACCCCTCCTGTTTCTCACCCCCTGACGGCCCCCCCGGGACTCCTGCCCCATCCAACCCCCCCCCGTTCCCTGTCCCCTGACAGCCCCCGGAACCCCCGCCCCTGACTGCCCCCCGCCACCCCATCCAACCCCTGCTCCTTCCTGACTGCCCCCCGGGACCCCTGCCCCATCCAACCACCCCTGTTCCCCGCCCTCTGACCGCCCCGACCCCTATCCACCCCCCTGCCCCCTGACCACCACCCCGAACTCCCCTGCCCTCTATCCAACCCTCCTGCTCCCTGCCCTCTCACCACACTGGCTGGAGCCAGCCACGCCACCGCGCAACACAGAGACCGGGTCAGGCCGGCCTCTGCAGATGTGCTGCCCCAGGAGCTCGCAGCCCTGCCGCCCAGAGCATGGCGGCGGCAGAGTGAGCTGAGGCCATGGAGGAGGGGGAACAGCAGGGGAGGGGCCGGGGGCGAGCCTCCTGGGCCAGGAGCTCAGGGGCCGGGCAGGAGGGTCCCACGGACCGGATGTGGCCGCGGTTCATAGTTTGCCCACCTCTGCTCTAGTGTCACACACACACATCCATGGGCACACGCCCTGGTCTCAGATCCTGGGCACGGGCCCTGGCTGTCTCCGGTACTCACCGAGGAGGAGGACGGTGAGAGCAGACGCCATGATGGGCAAGTGGGGACCCCTCAGTGCTGCCACCAACGCCCTGGTGCTGAGCTCCACCGAGTCTGAGGCCCGAGTGCGAGCGGAATGAGGAACTGTGCCGGAGGCTGCAGGCCCAGGAAGCCCGTGATGTGCTCGGCCCCTTTCTTCTATCACATGGTTTATCTGCAATCTCCAGGCCAAATCTATTGCGGTCAGAGCAAAGCCAGCTCCCTGCCACACCCAGCAAAGCACATCCCCTCCTGCAGCTGCCTGGTCCCCCCCACCCCCACACTCCCCTCATCACCTCCTGCAGCAGGGCAGAGATACCTTCCTGACCTGGCTGGGCCCAGCATCCGCCCTGGAGCATGAGGGTGGAGGGGCCTGGCCAACCTCCTTCTCAGGTAGTGTCGCTGCAGATGCTATTCTTAGCACAGTGGTGTGAGACAGAGATGGGACAGAGGGGTGGAGGGGTTGTGGTTTCTGGCACCCGTAATGGGAAACGGGAGGGATAAATTTAGATCCAAAGTTGCTAAAGCAGCAGCCGAAAAATCTGTGAAAAGGGGAAGTGTGTCTTGCAACAGCCCACAGCTCTGGGGTGACCCTGGGGTGACGGCTCCCTGCCTCCAGCCCGGCCACAATCAGGGTCATGTTCGTCTGGGCAGGGGACAGAACTTCCTCCGGGGCTGGGCCCAGGCTGCAGAACGAGCTCCCCCAGCAGCCAAGAGCCCCCCAAACCTCCCCACCTCCAGCTCCAAGGCCAGGCGCCCTCCCCCGGCCGACCTGCTCCATTATCGATCCGGGGCAGTGCGGCCATTGACCCCCTCAAACCGCCCCAGACCAGACCCTCCGCGGTGGGCACAGACCTCCCCCGGGGAGAGGACGAGAGAGAGCGACATGCCCGTGACAGATGGGGCCACGTCGCTTAATGCTCGACTGGCAAGCGCCCGACACCGCGGTGACCAGGGCAGCGTCAGACCATGTGCAGGGTAGAAGGCTGCTCCCCCATGGCTGGGACCCCCCCAGTGACTCCGTCCCCGCTCCCCGGCCGGGCGTCCCCTCTGCTGGGCCCAGGGCTCAGGGCAGAGCCTGGCTCTGAGGGTCCCATCAATGCAGAGCTGCCCCCCCCCCCCAAGTGTGCGGCTGGGCGTGGGATGTTACCTGCACAGATTAGTTCACCCCACCTTTTCCCAATCCATAGGGCTCCAGGCGTATCCTGGTTCCTTTAGGCACCTCACCTTTTCCCAATTCGTAGGGCTCCAGGCGAAAAGCACCTACCCGGACCCAATCTGTAGGGTTCAGGGTCACCCAGACCCAATCCGTAGGGTTCAGGGTCACCCAGACCCAATCCGTAGGGTTCAGGGTGTAACTAACATGGTCAATTTAAGTACCCACAACCTTTCCCAATACGTAGAGCTCCGGGTGTATACTGCTTCTGCAGGTTTGCAGGACCTTTTACCAGTGAAAGAG